AAATTGAGTAATGCTTTTATAATCGCATGAGTAATTACTTTTAACAACGCGTTGTTATATTAGTGTACATTTACATGGGTTATATTATGAATATATGTAGTAACATTGGCCGAGATCTAATTGTTCTTGTTGCCTTCCCGAAGGAGAATGTTTTCGCCTAAGAAAATCCGATTATTTAATGTTTTCTCGATATTTACAGTAATCCTGAACAGTTTGATACCAACATTGGCAAAGTATGTGTGGGTGTATGTGAGTCTTAATTTAGACATTCGTCAGCATCTTTCCAATAACGGCCACACTGATTAAATTATAGATTTAAAAGTCATTCAATAAAATTTGATAAGGACTGATTTTTATAAGTTTTTTCGCGAAATCTGCCAAGCCGTTTTTTCATAATCAGCAGATTAGTGCAACATTTTTCGTCCACGTTTTCACAATTATCTTGAACAGATTTTAAAAATTCAAAAATTATTCGAAAAATATCAGTTTGGAATCGTTTTGAACAGTTTTTGGTGAAGATCGAAAAGGCCGTTTCTACAATTAATCAATAAAAACAACAACTATAAATCACTCATAAATTAATATATTCCTTATTTGTTGATTATGTTAATTTACACATTTTGGTAGGTTCATGCAACTGACCTTAAGAAAATTTGCTATTTATACCAAGTTCAAATTATCACTTTATTTCTGTTTACTTTTAATCTCTATAATTAATTTCTATGTTTATTTATGTACATTACTTAGGGTCTAAATAAAATTTATAACTTACTAATAATATAATTAGCCACTTTAATACTATTCAGATAGCAATCAATCTTGAATACTTTATACAAATATAGTTTATATCCACCATTAAGTGAAAATCCAGTTTATTCTTTTTTTAATTCTTAGATTTTATTTGTAGCTCGCGAACGATTGAATTAATGTTTTATGTAGGTAGATGATGTAGCAAAAAACAAAAACCTTTAAATTGCTACTGATTTAACTCAAGTAAATGAAAAATTCTTAAAATATTTAGAAGTCTTTTTACTATTTTAAATTTTGTTTTAAATTCTAAAATAATAATTCATCATTTATAAAAACATTACACTTATAAATATGTTAATTTGTTTGCTAATGTTGTTGAATGATAAATTTCAAAATAAGTTTTGCACGGTAATTTGACATAGTAAAAGGGCGGCAGGGGCTTGTTGTAACAGTTTTTTCTTAATTGAAATCCAATGACTATATTTCTACCAAATAAATATGGACTGTTGCTGTAACTAATCTTCTACCAAATCAAGCCAAAATAATTCCACAACTGTTGTTCCTCATTTTACAATTAATCATTTTCTAGAAAAAGTGCGGTGTTTTAACTTACCTAGTATTTGGGACGTTGTAACGTCTATCAACGACCAAAAAACGATAATACCTCTGATAATTTATTCTTTACTTACTTATAAGAAAATAACTTGTTTTTAAGTAATTCTTTTTAAATCAACGTAAACTATAATTAATAAAAATAAAATGCATTATGTCTTCTATAATATAAATTTTAATCATAAATCATCAACCTAATTTACAATTATAAAAAAAAAGAAAAGATAGTGTCCCCTGTAAAACAATTTACATTTGCACACATCTTACAGACTATAAATTCTACCCAATTTTCTTTACTTGAATCTGTATATAATTATTGTGTGGTAGGTGTATTTTTTTGTTAATAATTAAGATAACTATTTAAACAATTTAGCAATCCCAAAAATTGTTGCATTATCAAATATTGATACAATTAAATTACAATAGGATATATAAAATTCAAAATTTTTCGATAATATTAACCGAAACCGTAATTTTATGATAGATCAATTTTTTATCACCTGTCAAAATATTCTGCATTGGCATGAGGAACAGTAACTATGACAATATTATGCAGGACGGTTTACATGTCCAATCAAGACAAAAAATATTTTAATATCATTTAAGAACATATTGATAAGTGCTTGTTACTAGTTACCCTCGTTTCATAAAGCCCCTATCTCTCCTACTATTTTTTTTAAAATACGCATTTTGATGTAAAAAATCTAGATGATGTTATTATTCAAAATTTTAATTGATTATTTCTTGTATAACATAATTTGCTTCTCTTGTTCTCAGTTTTAACGCATATCTGTTTTGTTCAAAATTTGTATGTCTTACATAAGGAATCCTACTTAAATTATTTGAGGAAATAATAAAGAGAGATTACATCAAATTATTTTTATGTTGAGTCACTCATTTACGCTCTTATTGAGAAAGTTATGTCGACATAAGCAATGATCGAAACCGTAAAATCGATCAACGAAATCAAACGGTTTATCTTGATAATTTATAGTGTAGCAATTTTTATTCATAGTTACTGAAAAAAATATCTTTGAATTTTTAAAAATTGAAAAATTAAAGTTTTGACCACATAGTTTATTTACTTTACACACTACTGCTATTAATTCTCTATTATTTATTATATAATATTATATAATTCTCTTTATTTATTCATCATAATAGTTTTAATTTCTTCCGTAGTAGAAGTTTATGTATTCACTAAAAATACAATATACTAATTTTATGTGTTCTCGAAGTTTTAAATCATAGTTAATCATTCCCTAATTTAGAAAAACTATCTGTGTATAAGTGAGCTATTTTTGATTTTTCTTCGACATTTTCTCAAAAATGGGTGCACCGATTTTTGAATTTTGAAAAACCGTTCAAAAGATATCATTTGGGAATCGTGGTTATTAGTTTTTGACAGAGATCTGCTGGGCCGTTTTTTTGTAATTAAATGAGAAAACTATTTAGAAAGTGCATCTAAACGAAGATTATAAAATATTAAAGGCCTATGATTGTGATTGAATTATAAAAATTCCTTAAAATTTGGAATAGAGATGTGTTTTTTTGCTGTTTTTGAAAAATTTGTCACAAAGTCCTTTTTACCCAAAATAGAGCGGCCAGGAGGCAAACAGATTCAATGTCTTATTTTTAATTTTGAAAGGATTTTACGAAATAATACCTAAAAAAACAACCAATGCAGAATATTAATTTCATTGGTACATTTTTTACAGGGATAACACTGTATATTACCTTGAACTGGTATTTTATCAGAAATATACATCAGCAGAGTTGTAATAACGATTATTCCAATATTTTATTCATCTCTTATATAATTGCTTTTTTAACTTATTTTACTTTTTTTTCTACCCCTGATATAGTGTTCATATAACTGTTGAATCTAACTTAAAATTAACAATAAATTTTATAAATAAATGAAATAACGTTTACTTAAAAATTATATTATTATTTCTTAAACTAAACAAGTGTGCTCACAACCAAAAAATTAGAGCCATATAAAATACTTGTGTTATAGATTTTCAACATTTCCGTTTATCTTCCGATTGTGACATCGTAAGGATCATGGTGATGGCTGATTATACATCTTTTACCCTTTAAAATATTGTTAAAATAAATTAACTTTACTTGTTTTTGAGATATCGATAATGGATCTTTCTACCCGCGTACCTATATCTTACACTATAGCCCTGCTTTATCCTACACTATATAAAAAACGTATTTAGCCAACAGTTAAAACAAACACGAGGAAGCAATACAAAAGTACTTGATTAAATCTATTGAATAATAATAATAATGTAAACATATTATTTCAAAAATCAAATTGGGCTTATATTAATATAACATAACTTTACAGCAACAAAAAGTGGTTTGACAAAGGTAGCAACAGCTTTGAAATCTTCAAAATGTCTAGAGCCAATTGGCGTGTAATATAAGCAATAAAACAAATTAAGTTCTTACCTTAACGAATGATCTCATTTCATTTTAACTCGTTCACTATAACATCAAGAAATTAGCATAAACCTTGAAGTCTTCAGCAATTTATATATAAACACGGTTTGCATATTTCGTCTTGAACTTGACTGGGTGCATGTGTCGAGTTCCGTATATGAAAAATCCCACATTAGTTTCGCACTTGTGTAACGACGCTAGTTAGAAATTGAAGATAATTCATACACAAGAATATATATTTATTATAATGAAATAGAAAGCTATGGCGAATTGTTTATTGTCAGTAAATAAATACATGATTAGACACTTCTTCATTCCGTTCTCTAATGGGTATACCGCTGCATTTTAATATATATAATTGATGTAATTATAACAGCTGCGTATTGCTTAATTTAGATGCGAAACTCTTCACTTCTTTTATTAGAACCTTTTATGAATACAAGTAAATTTTTGTAACTTTTTAACTTAACTATGGCATATAAAAGCTTATCATTTAATTTAGACACGCCAATTTTCATCTAACGCTCACAATTTCTGCAGTATCAACTTTCGAAAAATTCTTTATATTTTTGAAAAATATATATTTATTCAGCGATCAGCGGTTGAGTCCTAAGTTGTTGCCACGAGTTTTATTAACTAAGTGGCATTTTAGAAAACAACCCAACGGTTGACCTATCTATTTTTGATGAACTAGCTTTCCTCTAATAGAGATGACTTCGAGGGGTTGTCCGAGCAGTATCAAACCTGTGATTTTTTTCTAAAACCCATTTTCATGAATATAAAATTATTTTTATACTATTTTCTGAAAGATTATACTGCAATTTACCTATAGAACAAATAAAACAATTTGCGATAGATCGAATTTTTAATTTTGTGCTCTTATTTAAACTTTAACAATCGTGTAAAATATTTATGATTATGTTCATGCCAAAATAAGATTAATTCCAGCTTTATATATTAAATATTTATTACATTTGATCATGGATTTATGATTCATTTAAAATGTACTTGAACTTCTATTCTGCAAAATAATATACAGTTTGAAAATATTACTGTTTGTAATTCATAATTTTAATATAAATATATTTTTTATATTATAATTTAAAGGTTTGTTGATTAAAATTGTCTGTTAATTGAAAGTAATTATAAATTGCGTTCAGTGAGAAAGTCTTTTTGATTCTTGTTTAATTGCTTAAGAACAGGCTTACATTGGCTATCCAGGAACACTGGAATTCCACTGGAATATGGTGAATTTCATAAGAGACACGATTAGCTCTATAAAACAAAATGATTAAATAATAATATACGAATGTACGTGTCAAAAAATCTATTTACATAACATTTCTTTTCAAGAACTTTTCTTCAATTTTTAAGCTTGACTCACCGAGAACCATTAATGTTTTCAATGTTTTGTCCGCTCTTAATGTGATTTTGAGTGATATCTTTTTATTTGAGCACAATTAGTCTAATGAATGATTCATGATGATTTGTTCGATTCAATGATTTTGATATTTGTCACAATATATTTCAATTTTTTTTTTTCATATTTAATAATGGAATATAAATAACAAAGTCGCTTTGTCTACTAATGAGATTTGGAGTTTTATAATGCGTAAAAACCAAAATTTAAGAAAATAGACAAATTAATGATTTACATATTCATGCAATTGCAAAATGTACATACTACATTCAGAGCATAATATTAATTGATCGTTTCTAATATATCTATAGAATAAGTATTTTATTCTGAATTGTTATTTAATTACTTCGCTAATTTCTTATTGATAACATAATCTTGTTTTGTATCGCTTATGATAAGGCCCTAATAATTTAATTAAAATCATTTATATTAGCCTCTTTATTGTAATAACTTGATAATTTTATTACTTTCGCTAATTCTTCTAAATTGCAAACAATAAACTATGGGCGCAAACACTTTCGTTGCATATACAAAGAAAGGATAAATGCATATGATAAATATAAATACATAATATATAAAGATAAAAGTACATGTCACAATATTTTTTTAACTAAAACGTAGCACTATATTAAAATTTAATTTGGCAGCAATCAATAATATAATAACACCAATTTTGAAATTAATAAATATTAAAATATAACCACTCATGAGTAGTATAAAAATATTTTGGTAAAATAATATTTGAAGAAGATGTGCACGATATCTGTAGAGAAATCGCTTTATAATAAATATATATAATATAATTATTATACTTAAATTATGATCTCCTTTAATCAGATTTCAACTGTTTAACGGTTTGATACACACCCAGACAGCCTGCTGTCAAGCAGCAGTCATATTGGTTTTTTAATGAAAATATAAAATGCAATAGTTTCCAAGTAAAATTATCCTTTATCTGGCATTGCTATATCAACAAAGTATTTTACCAATATCACAGAAATTTTAATTATAAATTTATCTCATAGAGTTAGGATAAACTTTTGGGTAGCCCTCTATATAAGCCCTTTGTGTAAGAAGTCAGCACAAAAGCTCACAAAACTTGTTAAGTTGTAATGGCTATTCAAATAAATTAAAACACTATTTAAATTAGATTTTTAAGTATACCAAAACATCATGTGTTAAATTTTTGCATAGTTTTT